AAGTTTAAAATAAGTTTTAAGAAAATGCTAAAAAATACAACCTTAAATGGGGGAAATTATAAAAAACTTGATGAATTATAAACTTAATTGTAATTGTAAAATTGTAAAACTTAAAGAATTGTAAAAAAAGTTTTAAGAAATATTTTAGGAGAATTGTAAAAACAAAGAATAAATTCTAAAAATGTTTTACAAACTTAATTGTAAAAAAAGTTGTAAAAAATAATCGACAAATACAAAATGGGGGAATTATAAAATATAAGTTGTAAATAAAAATACAAACTTAAGTCAATTGTAAAAAAATTATTTAAAAAATATTATTAGAGAAAATACAAACTTATCGTCATTTAAAGCATATGTTCCTGTAATTCGTAATAAATCCTAAAATGATATTTATTTTTTAAATTTATTTATTTAAAGGTAAGTACTTGTTGTGCTTCAGCCAATTCATTAGAATATGAAGGAAGTAAACCATTCATAGAGGAACAAACACGAGGTGAACGTAAACGTTTTTTAGGGAAATGTGCACGGCGTACTTAAAAATAAAGGGGAAAATTTTTTAGAGAAAAAAATATTTTTAGAACCGAGAGGTGCACCAACAACTTCACGGATAGCAGAAGCTGTTCCTTCTACAAGATCTAATGTTCCTTGTAAAGGTTTTGTAAATGTGTCAACAGCACCAGTTGTAACACCACGAATAACACCCTATAATTTATAAAAATTAAATTATTTTGCTTCAAGTATTTTTTTGCTGCAATTTTGTATTTTAAGGTTTGTTTCATTAATTTTGCTTCAAATTTGTTTTAATAGAAAAAAAATTTTTTTCACCGGCAAAACCCCTTCTTGTCTAGCTGCAACGAATGTATTTTTAGCAATTGCAGTTAATCCTCCATACACCCCAACACCAAAACCTTTAAGTCCTCCATAAAGATAGCCTAAAGCATTAGCTTCATGTTCAGGTTTTGAACGTAACATCCAACGGCGAAATTGTTCGTGTTGATCTTTTTAGAAAAACATTTTTTTTTAATTTTTTTTATAAAATTTTTAAAAAAATTTCAAAAAATTTTTGAAAAAAATCTTAAAATTTTCAAAAAATTACAAAAAAAACCCTACCATCAAAAGTTAATGCCCCAACTCCTTGCGCCATTGAACTAGCAACTTTAGAAATACTATTAGCAGCCCCATAGCCAATACCAAAAGTAAAACCAGCAACATCACCCTCAAAGAGTAGGCCTTCAAAGCCTTCTTTAAATTCTGTAGCAAATCCACTAGGATTTCCAATTGCATCCATAGCGACAAAAATATTTAATTTTTGTTTTTTAAGTTGGCCTTAAATGAAAATTTATTTTTAAGAATTTTCAAATATTTTTGAATTTTTTTCGAATTTTTTTTGAAAAATTTCTGAAAATTTTTGGAAAATTTTTCTAAATTTTAAAAAACCCACCAATATAAAAATCAACAATATTAGCAAATAAATTATTCAAAGTTGTTAAACATCGATGTGCCCAGAATGGTGCAAGGGTAACTAAAGCATTTTCAAAATTAACAAGTAAAAGTGTTTCTGCATATCTTTCTTTAAGTAGCCGTAAACAAGGAGGTAAAGCATTTTTGTCAGTAGTTAACACTTAAATTAAAAGATATTGTGAACTTGAAAGAAAAAAAAGTTGGAATTGTAATTATTGTAAAACAACAGAATTTTTAAGTTTGTTTTATAATATTGTAAAACTTATTGTAAAACTTTAACTTTATAATTGTAAAACTATAAAACTTAATTGTAAACTTTTTTATAATATGTAAAACTTATTGTAAAACTTATTTATATATTAACCATGTTTTTACAAATTCTGATAAGTTTTACAAATTGTAAAACTTTAAATTTTACGAATTGTAAAATAAATTATTGTAAAACTATAGAACTTGATTTTCATAAAACTTCAGAATTTGTAAATAAACTTGTTTTTACAACTTTAATTTTATTAAAACAATTTTTACAATTTGTAAAAAATTAATTTTTATTTTACCAGAAAGAGAGATATCTCCAAATTCAAGTTGAAATGCACCAAAATAACAATTTTTAGTCACTTGTTGAGTTTGAATTTTTTGTTTTTGTTGTTGTTTTTCTTTCAATTTATTTCTTCTAGTATATTCAACAATATTTTTAATAAAATATACAAGTCTCCAAATTAATTGTTCATCAAGAAGAACACAAGAATTACAAAGTTTAAGACGAAAAGACTAAAAGAAAATTAAAAAAAAATTTTTTTTCGTTAATTTCCACCTCATATGCATCCAAAATATCCGTTGAAGTATAACTCATTTCAAAATTAAGTGCTGGAAACGGGCCAACTACAGGTTCATCACGAAGAGCATTAGGATCACAAAAAAATAAATTATGCCTATCTGCCCCAAGAATTTGATTATCAAACTTTAAAAAAAAGCAAAATTAAATTCTTTTTTTTAATTTAAATAAATTCTACCTGTATAGATTGTGAAGAACAATTAAAAACATAAGTATTATTTTGATGTTTTAAAATGCCTATACGAACAGAATAAAAACGGGCATAAATTAATTCTTCTTGTTGTTGTAATTCGTCAACAGAATTGTTGTTGTTATTTTCACAATTATTCCCAATAAGTGAAATTCCTATTCCAGCAGGTAAATCTAATTGTATATTAAGATCAATATCAGAAGGATTTGAAATTTTGATTGAATCAAAAGCATTACATCTTAAAAATAAAATTTGTAAAAAGTTAAGTTTAATTAAAGTTTTACAAACACTAAAGTTATCAGAAAAATAAACTTTATAAAGAAAAATTATATATGTAAAACTTCTTTCAGAATTTGTAAAATGTTTTTTACAATTTGTAAAAAAAGTTTTATTTACTTATAAAATTTGTAAAAAAAGTTAATTAATTTTACAAATTTTAAAAAAAGTTTATTTAATTTTACAAATTGTAAATAATAAAATTACAATTGTTTTAATAAAATTACAATTTGTAAAAGAAAGTTGAATTAATTTTACAAATTGTAAAAAATGTTTTAATAATTTTATAATTTGTAAAATATGTTTTTATTAATTTTACAATTTATAAAGGAAGTTTATTTAATTTTACAATTTGTAAAAAAATGTTTTTTATTAATTTTACAAATTGTAAAAAATGTTTTTAATAATTTTACAAATTGTAAAAAATGTTTTTATTGATTTCACAAATTGTAAAAAAAGTTTATTTAATTTTTACAATTTGTAAAAATGTTTTATTAATTCTACAATTTGTAAAAAATGTTTTTATTAATTTAACAATTTGTAAAAAATGTTTTAATTAATTTTACAATTTGTAAAAAACGTTTTTATTAAATTTACAATTTGTAAAAGAAAGTTGAATTAATTTTACAAATTGTAAAAATGTTTTTATTAATTTTACAATTTGTAAAGCTTATTTTACAAATTCTGACATATACTCCCTCTACCTTGACATGTATTTTGTAGAAGTAGAAAGAAAAGAATTTGAGCGTTGTTTTACACTACCAGAAGCAGAATTTTGATTTTGAATTTTATAGCTTTCAGAAAAAGAATTATTATTATCAGCATTGTTAATTGATGTTTTTGTTGTTGTTTTTGACGTTTTGTAATTTTGATTTCTTGTTTGTTCAATTAAATTTAAAGTTTTATTTGTTGTTGTTGTTTGTAAAAATAGTCTATTATTTATTTCAATAAAATCTATCAGATCTTCAACAAATGTTTGTGTGATATTTAATTCTGCTAAACTGTCATCTGCTTAAAAATTAAAAGAAAAATTTATTTCTGAAATTTTTCAAATAAAAAAAAATTTTTTTCCCATACCCGGTCTTAACCATAAATTCCATTTTTGTTGAGCATTCTCTTCCAATTCAAGCCTTGCAATACGCCAACATTCTAATAACGGTTCCCAACCAAGAGGTGCACGTTCACGATAATTATCTATACTAACAGAAAAATTTGTTTCTAAATGGCGAGAAGTCCATTGAGCATTTAATCCTTTAAAATAAATTTATTTAAAAAATTATTTTTTAAAATTTTTTACCAAATAAATTAAAACGCAAAAATGGAGCCATACTACCGCTAGAATTTGTTGTTGTTGTTGCTGTAGTTTCTTTTAAAATCCATATACAAAGCTGATTACAATTAAAACGCCATTTTTTAGGAATTATTTGATGAGAATTTTTATTATTACCAAAATTTGAATCAGACCAAAAAAATGATTGAGTTTGTGATTTTTCCCAAGTAATTAAAGCATTATCAATAATATATTTAATAATAAGAAAATCCTGAAAAGAAAAAAATTTTTAAAGAAGAAAATCTCTCTCTCCCGTACCTTCAATGAACTTCTTATAATTAAAGCCCCCAAATTTATTTGAATGTGTAATTGTTTTTGTTTTAATAATAAATGTTCTATTCCATCAATAATTGAAGATTTTAATAATATTTTTTCTTTAATTGATGTTTTGTTGCTGTTTGACATTTGAATATTAATTGTTGCATTTGATTCATTTGTTATTTGAGTTAAACTTGATTTTTCACAATTCATTAAACACCAAGATAGAGAAAAGTTCTGAAATTGTGTATAAAATCAGAATTTGTAAAAAGAAGTTTGTTTTATTATAATTACAATTTGTTCAGAATTTGTAAAACTTTTTTTCAGAATTTGTAAAACTTTTTTACAATTTGCAAAACTTTTTTACAATTTGTAAAACTTTTCCAGAATTTGTAGAACTGTTTTAAAATTTGCAAAACTTTTTTCAAAATTTGTGAAACTTTTCTACAATTTGTAAAACTTTTTTACAATATGTAAAACTTTATTACAATTTGTAAAACTCTTTTCAGAATTTGTAAAACTTTTTTACAATTTGTAAAACTTTTTTTCAGAATTTGTAAAACTTTTTTACAATTTGTAAAAAGTTTGCTTTAGTATAATTATAATTCAACAACTTTTTCAGAATTTGTAAAATTTTCGCAAATTGTAATTTAACCTATATTTACCTGTATTTCACATTGTATATCATAAAGTTCATTATCGTCATAGACATTATATAAAATTACACCACTACAATTTGTAATTAAAGCAAAACTGTCACATTTACTTTCATCTTCTAATATAATTAATTCACAATCTTTTAAAGTAATTTTAAACATTGAAATAATTTTATTTTGATTAATTATATTTGTTGAAGAAGATGAAGTGGATAATGATGAATGGGTTAATTCTGCTTGTGATAAATTATTCTTAAAATATTTTTGTTGTTTTTGATGTTGAATTGTTTTTGTTGAACTACTACGACAATGAATTCCATTTTTTGAAGAAAATTCTAAAAAAATTGATTGAATAAATTTTAGAAAAATTTATTAATCTTACCATTCGAATTTAAATTATTAACAAGTAAAAGAAATAATTTAAGCTTTTCAATCCATTCAAAAAGAAGAAAAACACGTGTTTTAATTAATATAAATGAAAATATATGGCATTCATTACGAGGCATTTGGATATGTAATTCGCAAAGCAATTTTTTGCTTTCACTGAAAAATAGAGAAAAAATTATATTTAATTTTACAATTTGTAAAAAAAATCAGAAATTGTAAAAATAGAATTAGACTCAGAATTAATTTCAAGTTTTACAAATCAGAATTTGTAAACAATTAGAATTTGTAAAACTTGAAGTTAATTAAGTCATTAAAATCAGAATTTGTAAAAAAAGGTTTTATATTTTACAATTCTAAGTTTTAAATAAATTCTGATTTAATTTTAAAACCCAGAATTTAAAATACACTTTTTTGAATTTATTACTTGTTTTTAGTTGTTGAACTTGTTGAAGCAACATGTTTATTGTAACTCTTTTCATGACGCGCTTTAAGTAATTTTTTGAAAGGCTCTGCTGTATGAGTAGCTAAAAAATTTTTAAAATAATTTTTTGAATTAAAAAAAAATTTTTTTTACAATTTGTAGAATCTTCCAAGGTTGCACTTTTACAAATTATATCAATTTCAGAATGTGAGTCAATAAAAGAATTGAATAAAACTTTGACTGAATTTAAAGAAAATGTTGCAAATTTTTCAAAAGAATTTGTTTCAAAAGGTGATGAAGGTGTTAATAAATTTAACTAAGATTAAAAAAATAAATTAAAAAAAAATTTTTTTTTTGCCCTTACTTGAACTCCCTTTAATTGTAATCTAACACAAAATGTTGCATATTTTTCTAATGGTTCTACCAAATCAATTTCAGAAAATTCCAATAATTCATTAGGAATAAGTTCTGGTTGTAAAATTAATTGTTCTCCAAAATTGTTGTTAATACATTCATATAAAAGTTTGTAAAAATCACTGGTACAGTTTACAATTAAATTTTCAAGACGTAGAATTACTAAAGTATCGGGAACTGAAAAAAGATAAATAAATAAAATCAAAATTTTATAAAAACAAGTTTGTTTATAATTCAATCAGAATTATAAACAAACTTGTTTTAAAAAATCAGAATACTTTAATAAACTTGTTTTACAATTCTTAAATAACGTTCAAATCAGAATTAAGAACAAACATGTTTTTAGAAATAAAACTTAGAATTAAAATAAAAAACAATCATAATTAAATCTCAACTTGTTTCAAAACATGTTTTTAAAAAAGATAAATAAAATCAGAATTTTATAAAAACAAGTTTGTTTATTCTCACATCAGAATTTTAAACAAACTTAAAAAGAAAAAATCAGAATTTAAAACTTAGAAAAGTTCAACGCTTGCTTAACTTGTTTTAAAACTTGTTTTAAAAAATCAGAATTTAATCAAAACCAGAATTTTTAATAAACTTGTTTTACAATTCTTAAAATATCTTTTTTGCAATTTTCTCTCACTTATTTTAATTATTAATTGATTTTCTTTTAAAAAATAAAGGCTTAAAGGAGAAAAAAGATATAAGCACGTACATATTCATTTCCATAAAAATGCATGTAATATATTTTCATTTTAATTCTTTTTCTCTTTTTCATTCTCTTAATGCCACCTATTTTTAAAAAACAAGCACAATGGCAAAAATAAAAAAAAACTATTTGACGTTACTATAACAGTCGAATATTATTTTATATTGCCCTTCAACCTTCAAGTATTTTTAATAATATAAACAATTCCCGGAAAACATTTTTATTTAATATTTATTGCTATGGGATACACTTAAAAAAGGCGCTCCAGACAATTACTCTTTAATATTATTTTAACATTAATTTTTAAGTTTCTTAAGTTTGTGCTAAGTTTAAGTTTGTAAAACATGTTTATTTAAATTCTGATAGAATCAAAACATGTTGTGTTTTAATTCTGATTTAAGTTTGTAAAACAAGTTTATTTTTAATTCTGATAGAAAACCAACTTGTTTTTAATTTCTATCAGAATTAAAAACAAACATGTTTTTATAAAATTCTGATTTTATTTTAAATTTCTATCAGAATTAAAAACAAACATGTTTTCATAAAATTCTGATTTTATTTTAAATTTCTATCAGAATTAAAAACAAACATGTTTTCATAAAATTCTGATTTTATTTTAAATTTCTATCAGAATTAAAAACAAACATGTTTTCATAAAATTCTGATTTTATTTTAAATTTCTATCAGAATTAAAAACAAACATGTTTTCATAAAATTCTGATTTTATTTTAAATTTCTATCAGAATTAAAAACAAACATGTTTTCATAAAATTCTGATTTTATTTTAAATTTCTATCAGAATTAAAAACAAACATGTTTTCATAAAATTCTGATTTTATTTTAAATTTCTATCAGAATTAAAAACAAACATGTTTTCATAAAATTCTGATTTTATTTTAAAGTTTATTCTCACTTTCAGTTTTCCCCATACTTGTGCCTTTACACAAAACATTCAAAAACAAAGAAATTAAAAATGCCCTTTACAACAACAACACCAAAAACAACAATTAATCAAAATAGTGCAAATGAATTATTATTAGTAGCAGGCGGAATAAGTGGAGGACAACAACAACAAAATTTAAATTCAAGCCGCAGACAAAGTGCAAATTCAAGAAATCGAACAGCAACAGGCGGTGGAACACCATTCTTTAGTTCATTATTAATGGCACAAGGAAGTAGTGGACGAGCAACACTGTTTGGAGGACCGTTTAGAGTTGTAAGTAGAAAATTAAAAAAAATTTTCTCAAAAAAATTTTTTTCTTAAAAATAAAAATAAAATTCACCTATATATATTTATTTCCTGAAAAATAAAGCTCACTTATAAAAACCTTTATTTCCCCACTTTCATTTTTCAAAAATATACAAACAAAATTGGCCTTCTATTATTATTTTTTCAATGAGGAAAAATTGGCACTAACCACATCATCCACATATAAATATATCCTTTTCAAAAGCTTTTTTTAAATTGATGGTATTTATTACAAAATATTATCCAAAAAAATTTTTTTAATCCAAAAATGAGCTCATTTTTAAAAAAATAAAGTAAAAAAATAAATAAAAAAATTCACAAAAAACCCCAAAAAATCCGTTTGAAAATCACCCTAAAAATCCACAAAAAAGACTCCTAAGAAAATCTCCCCAAAAAAAGTCCAAATAAAAAAGAAGAGAAAGAAAAGCATGTTCAACTCAACATCAAAAAAACATTCAAAAAGTTCAATATTCAGCAACGGAAAAAATAATAATAATGAAAGCGATGAAAAAAGTAGTAGCAGTTTATTGATACCAACACCCTATTATTATAATTTAAACAACAATATAAAAACAGAATATTCAGAAATTAACTTTGAAACAAAAACAAATGAAAATTCTGATAAAATTACAACAAAAGAAAGAAAAAATCAGAATTATTACAATTACAACTTTTTTACAACTACAAGTAGTAACAACAACTATGCTTCAAATATTACAAATAATTCAACAAGACTAAGTTGGATTAGAAGTTCTATATTAAATAAAAAATATCCTTCAATGACAACTAATACAATTGGCCTATCTTCTCGATTAAATTTAAAAAAACCAAATAAATTTAATCAAAAATCTCAATCTTTGGATAATAATAATAAAAATATAAATAATGATTATAGAGAAAGTAGAAAAAGTATTCGTTCATTACAGGCAAAATTTGCTTCTTCATCTTCTGCTGAAAGAACTGATGATGGTGGTGGAAATTCTGCAATGAGAGGAGGGCTAATAACAAAATTGGATAAATACACGACTGAGGAATTGAAAGAGTATAGACAGGTTAATTAAATAAAATAAACTTAAATCAGATTTTGTAATATACGAATTGTAAAAAATAAAAGAACTTGTTCAGAATTACAATTTGTAAAAAATAAAATAAATAAACTTATTCAGAATTTGTAATTACAATTTGTAAAAATCAAAATAAAGAGCATATTTTGTAATTACAAATTGTAAAAGAATAGAATAGATAAACTTGATCACAATTACAAATTGTAAAAAAGAAAATAAATAAACTTGTTCAGGTTTTGTAATTACAAATTGTAAAAATTAAATAAAGAAAATTATAAATTGTAAAAACAATAGAAAAACCTAATCAGAATTTACAAATTGTAAAAAAACAAACTTATTGAGTAAAATACGTTTAAAAAGATATTCAACATGTTCGACGCAGACAGAAGCGGTGCTATTGGTATTGAAGAATTGGAGAGTGCAATTACAAATTTAGGAATGGATTCAAAACAAATTGATGTAGAAATGTTAATGAGAGAAGCTGATAAGCGTGGAAATCATCAAATAGATTTTGATGAAGTATGTAAAAAATATTAGAAAAAAATAGAAAAATAAATTTTTAAGTTTTGCGAAGTTATGAAAACAACAAGTGAAAAAACACAATCATGGAATGAAGTAATAAAAGAATGTTTCAATGTTTTTGATAGAAACGAGTCTGGACTAATTTCTAAAAAAGACTTCGATTTTGTACTGGTAAAATAATAAATTTTTACAATTTGTAAAACTTGAAGCAGAAAAATAAACTTGAAATAGAAAATAAAAATAAACTTGATTTTACAATTTGTAAAACTTGAATCAGAAAAAAATAAAATGTAATTACAATTTGTAAAATTTAAAAAATAAAATTGAATTGAAACTTTTACAATTTGTAAAAGTTAGGTAAAAATAAACTTGAAAAAAAATCAAAAAAACAAACTTGAATTAAACTATAAAAATAATAAGTTTAAAAATCAGAACTTAAAAAAATTTTAAGCGCGAACTTGGTGATATTCAAAATAGCAGACTAATAGATGTTAGTTAATTTAAAAAAATAATTATTAGAATAAAAAAATTTTTTAAAGGAATTATTTATAGAATATGATGTTGATGGAGATGGTTTTATTGATTTTGATGAGGTGAAAATTAAAAAAAATTCCGAAAATTTTTCAAAATATTTTTAAGTTTTCCTTTTTGGTGCGAAATTATCTTACTGATGAAGATGTTTAAAAAATATAAAAAAATATAGACTTAAAAAATTAAAAATGCTCACAGAAAAAATAGAAAAAAATTGTTTTTATATTAAAAAATAAACCCACCAGCATGTGTAGTTCGAGCAGACAAATTTCTGTAAAGTTGTATTTCCTGGTGAATGTTATTGTTGGTATTGTTATTATTTTCAATGACAGATTGTAATTTATGAAATGTGTAGGCAGTGAAATCTGTAATAAAATAATTTTAATATACATTAGTTCTGAAGAAATAAAAACATTCAGAATTTGTAATTACAAATTGTAAAAAAAGTTGTGAGAATATAAAACTTGTTAATTGTAAGAATTGTAATTACAAATAATGGAAAAGTTCTGATTTAATTATTCTACAATTTGTAATTACAAATTGTAAAAAAAGTTCCGAAAAAATAAAAACATTCACAATTTGTAATTACAAATTGTAAAAAAATAAACTTTAATTTAAAACTTGTTTAGAACTTTACAAATTGTAAAAAAAGTTTCGATTTAATTATTCCAGAATTTGTAATTACAAATGCTAGAAAAGTTCTGATTTAATTAATCCAAAATTTGTAATTACAAATTGTAAAAAAACAAATTAAATCAAAACATTTACTGTTTTTGTTTGAAATTCTTTCATTCTTGTTTATATTTTTTGTTTTGCAAAAATTTCCATAATAAACAGAATAATGTTGTATTTTTATATTTATATCATCCAATAAAGGTGAAGCATTTTCATTTAAATTATTATTATTTACCGTATTTCCTATATTAGAGCCCCATGGGGCTCTATTTTTCAACTATCCTCCAAGGTGGGGGTGTATTAAAGGGTGGGGCTCTAATTGAGGGTGGGGCTCTATTTTTCAACCCTCTTTTGAGATAAAATCCCATTTATTAACTATCCATTGCAACTAGAGATAAGCCGGAGGTTTGGTGTTGAACCGCAAAATATCGAAAGAGAATCGATTATTTTTCGATTTTTCAAGAAAAATAAAATAGTTCAATGAGAGCTAAATTAATTATTAACTATTGGTAGATTTGGACGGATTAAAGGAAATGTTAGGGGACTAGTATTTGACATCGATGGATCAGAGGTATAAAAGTGGATTTTAAGGGATATCTATTAGGGATCTCGCTTAAAATCACTGATTTTAAGCGAGATCCCTAATAGATCTCTAATAATCTCGCGAATTATCGTCAAGTGGATTAGATTTTGGAGATAATAGGAGTGATTATAAGAGGGAATATAGGCGATATTAGGTTATTTTGACGGATATCGGGATTATCTCCTCGTTTTCATCCCTATATCCCCATGATCCCTCCTCCTCCATGATCACGATATCATCGATATCCCCCTTTATTTCCTTAACTCTCTTAATACATCTAAAAAGTTATTGGGGTATTTTTTTCCTCTAATATTTTTTAGGTGGGGCTGTATTTGGGGTGGGGCTCTAATTGAGGGTGGGGCTCTATTTTTCAACTATCCTCCAAAGTGGGGCTGTATTAGAGGGTGGGGCTCTAACAGAGGGTGGGGCTCTAATATAGGAAATACGGTAATTGTTGTTGCTGTAATCGAAACAAATTTTCTCCCAAATGTTTTTGAAGCAAATTTTTTATTTGTGAAGCTCGACAGAATTTATTAGAAATTAGAATTTTGTCACATTCAAAAAGCACAGCTTTTTGAGAATTTTCACTTGAAGGGATATAGAGATTTAATCCACTAGTAAATTCAATATCAAGTTTACAACGAAGTTTAAGTAAATTATCAAACAAGTTTTGTTGACCAAATAATTGTTGTTTTGATTGTTTATTAATTTCATTTTCAATAAATAAGCGATCATAAATTTCAGAAAATTGAAGCCAAAAATCTATCAAAGCATAATAATAACGATGTGAATGTATATAATTAACTACAACATCATTAATTATTTTTAGATTTAAATAAATATCAAAATCGTTGTTATTGTTGTTTAAAGAAGAATTAAAATTTCGACGATTCCTTCAAAAAAAATAAAAAAAATTAATTAAAAAAATTTTTTTCTCACTTTATAAGCTTCATTTTAATACATGGTGTTGATTTCCCGTTTAATTTGTTGTCAAAATTTCCAACTCGTAAACGCTGAGAATATATTTGTGAATTTTCATCGGTAAGTGAAAAACTATGTGCTTGCATCGATATAAGGATCGGATCACTTGAAACGTTCAAATCTATCTAAAAAAATAATTTTTTAATTTTTTTTTGAAAAATTTTTTAGAGAAAATTTTTCTGATTTTTTAAAGAATCTTTCTATTAAAAAAATTTCTAAAATTAAAAAAAAATTTTAAAACAAAATTTATTCACCTGTACAGTAAACGTAGGCTTTTGAATATAAACAATACCCAATTTTGGAGTTAATTCACTTTTTGGATAATTTATTGATAATATTAAATTAGAAGAAATATTTAATTCAATATTCATAATATAATTGTTGTTATTGTTGTCCAAAACATTTTTATTATTAATATCAGAAGTTGAACAAAAACCAAAAAAGTCTATTAAAAGTAGCCATGTTCGTCGATTAATAAATAATTCAACATTTGTTTGTTCGTCGTCAAAATTCCCTGTGACAATACAATTTGCCTGAGAAAAACAAGTTTAATATAAATCAGAATTTTTTAAAAACATTGAAAAAAATCAGAATTATTGAATTAAAAAATAAACTTGAATCAGAATTTCAGAATTATGGGAAAAAACTTTTTTCATAAATACAAACTTGTTCAGAAATTAAACTTTAAATTCTGATTGAACTTTAAATTCTGATATATATCTAACAACAAAAACACACACCTTTTTGCAACTTGTTTCAACTTCTTCATGTTTGTTAGGATCGAATACAACTTCAATACAATGTTTTTTCTTCTGGTTTTGTTGTTTAATGTTTGAAACAATGTTGTCCACTTGTTGTTGCTGTTGTTTTGTTGTGGGCATTGTCTGATGTCTATTACAAACATTATTATTTTCTGTTTCACCAACAAATAAATTTTCATTTAATAAAGATGTTAAAGCTAAATTTGAGGGAGAATCAGAATTTTCAGTTGTTTTGTTGGGAGAAATGTTGTTGTTGTTGTTCGAATTTTTGGAACCGTTGTTTGTTGTTAGATCTGGACAAGAAAGAGAACGAACAGTTCCATCAGGCTTAAAAAAATTTTTTTTAATTTTTAAATTAATAAAAAAATTTTCAAAATTTACCCCATTTTTATTAAAAGTGACCACCTTTTCCTTCCCAATTTTAAGCAACATATCGCCATTTTTGTTTGTTGTTTTCTCAAATAAATCTTTCAAATTAAACGAATCAAATCCAACATTAATTTTATTTAATTTTTGTTGTTGTAAATGTTTTTTAATAAATGTAAATGATAATCCACAAACACTAGCAAAAACAAAAGATGATGACGACGATGTTTCTATTGTTGTAAAGTTTGAATGTTCGTTTGAAATTGTTGTTGTTGGAGTAAAAACAAGTTTATTTTTATCAAATGTTTTTGTTGTTGAGGTTGTTGTGTTTTTATTTTTATTAATGTTGTGTTCATATTTTCTTGTTTTAATTGATGTTTGTTTTAAATTCTGATTGTTTTTATCATTTGTTGTTGTTGTGTTTTTGTGTTGATGCTGTTGTTGTGTTGATGTTTGTTTTGAATTCTGATTGTTTTTGTTATTAGTTGTTGTTGTGTTTTTGTGTTGATGTTGTTGTTGTGTTGTTGTTTGTTTTAAATTCTGATTGTTTTTGTCATTTGTTGTTGTTGTTGTGTTTTTCTGATGTTCAAAATTATTTTTATTCTCCCCAACATTAAATTCTTCTTCCTCAACATTGTTGTAAACATCATCAATATCAAAATTTAACGGGAACAGAATTGAATTTGAGGTACGTTTTCTTCTTGTCCTTTTTTTATTATTCTGTTCTTCTATATGTTTTGGTAATGTTGATAAAATACAGTCTTGCGCAGCTTTTTGGCTTCTTAGTTCAATTAAAAGCTGAAAATTTTCTTTTAAATTTATTATTAAATTAAAAATACTTCAGGTATTGTTGCAAAAATAAATATTTGATGAAAAATTAGAGAAGATTCATCTGATGATTTAAAAGTAGTTGAAAAATTGCTGGTGGATGGAGTTGAATGCTGAAAGCTCTGAAATACATAACTTTTTAATTTCAATTAAAAAAACTTTTTAATTTATTTTGAACTATTTGAGATTTTAATCTTTTATAATTTTCCCCATTTTAAATATTACCCAAATTTAGAATTTTTAAAAGAAAAAGCATAAAAGCCGTTTCCATAGTAATAAAAAGAACCCCAAACAACAATAAAAACTTTAAAACTAAAAATACTCGTTTTAATTCTTACTCCCAACAAATTTTATTTGTTTGAATAAAATTACAATTTTTACTGTTTTAATTAGTGTTTGTTTTAAGTTCTGATTTCATATGTTTTATTGTTTTAATTATGTTTAAATCAAATTCTGATTTTTTCTGTTACAATAAATTAATGTTTGTATTAAATTCTGATTTCATTTATTAGTTTTAATTGATGTTTAGATTAAATTCTGATTTTTCTGTTATAATAAATTAATGTTTGTATTAAATTCTGATTTCATTTATTAGTTTTAATTAATGTTTAAATTAAATTCTGATTTTTTCTGTTATAATAAATTAATGTTAGATATAATTCTGATTTTATATTTCCCAATTATTATATGTTTTTCTGATTTATTTATTTTTATCGTTTTAGAATAAAATCAGAAACACAAAAACAATGTTGCTTTCAAGATTTCGACGAAACAAAAAATCAGAAGAAGATAACAACAACAACAAAAATAATAAAAAAGAAACAAGTAAAAGACAAGAAAGTGAAGATGAAACAAGAGAAGGATTATTTAAAAAATTAAATAAATTTTTAGAAAAGCGTGATTATATGGGAGCAATATCCTTACTTGAACATAAAATTAAAAAGCAAGAAAAAATAAATTCAAAAAATAATGATGAATTAATGAATTTAAAATTATGGTTAGGCTATTGCCATTTTCATGCAGCAAATTATAGAAATGCAAAAAATATTTATGAACAAATGTTGGGGGATAAACATTGTCCTAATGAAGTTTATTTATATTTGGGATGTTCTTTTTTCTTTTTGGGTTTATATGAAAATGCTAAAAAAGTGGCAGAAAAAGGTAAAAACAAGCAAAAATTAATTTAAAAATGTTTTTAATTAAAGCTTCCAAAGGCCCCCTACAAACAAGGTTACTCTTTCATGTTGCTCACAAAATTAATGATAAGAAAAGCCGTATGTTTTTATATTTAAATTGAAGTTTTGTATTTTTGTTTTGATGTTTTTGTGTGTTTTTATTTAAATGTGCTTGTTTGATGTTTTTATTATAATGTTTGTTCTGCTTTATTTTGATGTGTTTTAGATGTTTTGATTAAATGTTGTCTATGTGTTTTTGTTTATTTTGTTTTAAACTTGTTGAAATTAAATTCTGATTTTGTATTTTTTATGTTTTTATTAAATTCTGATTTTGTATTTTTTGATGTTTTTATTAAATTCTGATTGTATTTTTTGTTGTTTTTGTCAAATTCTGATTTTAATATTTTTAGTTGTTTCCCATCACGGACAACTAAAAGACACAACAGAAGACCAACTTTGTTTAGCTTCTGTTCATTATCTCCGATCACATTACCAACAAGCTATAGACATTTACAAAAAAGTTTTGAGCAAAAACAAAACTTATTTAGCAATAAATGTTTATATGGCTCTTTGTTATTATAAATTAGATTATTATGATATTTCTATGGAAATGCTACAAATTTATTTGGATAAATTTTCTGATAGCCCTATTGCAGTGAATTTAAAAGCTTGCAACCAATATAGATTATATAATTCTAAAGCAGCAGAAAATGAGCTGAAAGCTTTGAAAAGTATGTCTACTAGCGAATTGAATTTTGCAAAGGATATTATTTTACATAATACAGTAAATTAATTTTTTTGAAAAATAATTTAAAGAATAATTCAGTCCTACAAAATACTCTCTAAATTAGGAATACACCTCACTTTAAGATATCTTTTTCTGAAATTAATTTGTGGTCACTAGGCGAAGGCCACTGGGTAAAGGAACGCAAGTAGGTCGAGGAAGGAGCTAAAAGTTTGAGGAGACCAAAAGGTCGAGGGAGCCACTAAATGATTGGAGCTTCCTAAGTGATATACCCATTTAAAACACACTTCATTATATCCACGAGTGTACCCGAGTAAATTCAAAAATAAAGGTTGTATTTCGCAATGGAGACGGAGCTTTACAATTACTTCCAACACTTGTTGATATTGTACCAGAAGCTCGTTTAAACTTAGCTATATATCATCTGAAAAAGAACGATACAGATGCCGCATTTGTATTGATGAAAAATATAGAACCACAAAGCACTTATGAATATTTACTTAAAGCTATTACATTTTGTATTAAAGGAATTGAAGAAAATTCGGTAAAAAATTAATTCAAAGATTGAAAAAAATCCATTTTTTAAAGCAAGACCTATTAAACGCGGCAGCAGGATTTTTCAAAATTGTTGGAGAATCACCAGCAGAATGTGACACAATAATAGGAAGACAAAGCATGGCATCTGCCCATTTTTTAAGAAAACAGTTTGATGAAGTTTTAGTCTATTTGGATTCAATAAGGGTAACGAAAAAAGAAAAGATCTGGTTCAGTTTATGGAGCCAATGAAAAATATAACAAACAAACCAGACCAAAAAACTCATAAAAGTTCATTGGACGTACAAACTAGACCAGAGTCAAAGGAACCCCAAAAAATACGAATTTCCAAAAAAAATTTTTTAAAGACTTTTTTTTCAAACGATGAAATCTTCAATTTTAATTATGGACAAACACAACTTATGTTAGACAATTTTGTTGAAGCAGAAAAAATTTTAAAACAAATAAATGGACATCAGACAACTTCAACACTAATTTATTGTCTTTGCTTAGCTCGTGCACAAATTGCGAATGGGAATGGAAAAGAGGCTTGGGGGGTTTATCAGAAGGAGAAACACATTCCAAATTCACAAATGATTTTGAGGTTGATTGCTAATGATTGTTATCGGTGAAATTTTTTTCTTTATAATGCAAGAAGGGAGATCCGGTCGGTTTATTGTTAGCACTTAAAAAGCTCCCAAGGTGTAGGTTTAAGATTTATTAGTAAAGAGAAGGTGAAAGCATTGCCCCCGATAGCTCATAATCACCCAGTAGAGCATCCCTGCAAATAGTGAACCAAAGCCTCAAGCAATAACTGCCACAGGTGGACGTAAGTTTTATGCCTGCCTCGGCTCGCTAAACTGTTAAAATAAATTCTATTTTTGAATGTTTCAGATTGGAAGATTATTTAATAGCAGCCAAAGCTTTTGATGAAATGGAAAAACGTGAAAATCGGATGAACAATCAACAAAATTTTAATTATTCAAAACCAAAATGTGCAGCATGTATTGGAGTAGTAAAAATGTTTACTGCTGATAAATGTAATTTAGATGATCTACGTGAAGCAATGCGAATATTAGAACGTGATAAAAGTAGTGAAGCGAGAGAAGCAATTAAAACAATAAATAAATGGGCAATGGAAGTTAATGTGTATTTTTAAGAAGGAGAAAGAGATTACAAATTGTAAATTTGTAAAAATTCTGATTTGTAATTTTCGAAATTCTGGTTTTTAATTATTAAAAATTCTGGCTAATATTTTTTCAGAATTTGTAAAAATAAATTGTTCAATTAGAATTCTGATTTTAAGAATTTGTAAAAAGCAAATGTTTAAATAAAATTCTGATTTTAAAAATTTGTAAAAACATGTTTAAATAAAATTCTGATTTTCAGAATTTGTAAAAACACATGTTTAAATAAAATTCTGATTTTCAGAATTTGTAAAAACACATGTTTAAATAAAATTCTGATTTTCAGAATTTGTAAAAACACATGTTCAATTAAAATTCTGATTTTTTCACCCACCTTATTATTTTCCTCCACTCTTTCAACAATCTCTCGTAATGTAGCAATAAAACAATCATCAGCGAGCATAGCAAGAGGAGCACAACAAATATTTAATTCATGATATATTTCCATTTTTGGTGCCAATCTTTTATAGAATAGTTCAACTATTGGAGAAGAAAAATTATTTTTTGTTGTTTTATTTTCATTTCGTCTTCCAATTGTAAACAATAAACTTGTTGTAATATCAGAATTTGATAGTATATCTTCTTGGAAACCACAAAAAAGTGAATCGTCATTATTATTTTTGGATAAATCATTGGAGTCCTAAAAAAAATATTTTTTAGGTTAAAATTTTTTTCTTTATTTTTAATCCTAAAAATTACAAACTCATCCTTTCCGGCTTCGAGTACTTTTAAAGGACGATTTTTCTCAATTTTACAAAACCTCAAAAAAAAAGTTTTACAATTTGTAAAACTTGTTTAATTAAGTTTCACAAATTCCCTTTCCTCAAAAACAAGTTTTTACAATAAAATTTTACAAATTGTAAAACATTTACTAAACAAAACATTGTCTGGTTTTACAAATTCCTTCCTTCTCCTAAACAAGTTTTTTTTATAATTTCTCTTGCCCTACATCAACAATAGGGTTTGTTTTACAATTCGACCCAAGTTTTACGAATCCCCTACCTTTTTCTTCTCCTCAAAATTATTTATAAATTGTTGTTGTTGCATTTGTTGAATACTTAAATCCCCTATATTTATTGACATTTCAGTTCTATGTTCTTTTGGTGAAAGTTGAATACGTCCATTTAGTTGATCCAAATCAAAAGTTAACATTAATAAATTAATTTTTTGTTGTTTTTCATTATTTTCTTGTTTAGAGGCCTTAAAAATTTCAGAAAAAAAATTTTTTTAATTTAAAAAAAATCTTGAAAAAAATCTGAAATTTTTTTCCCTCAGATTTCAACGAATTTTTATATTAAAAAAAATAAAAAAAAATTAACAACAAAAAAACCTTATCAGTTGCTATACGCAAATGTACTCTTGCAAAATTAATAACAAGTTCAGCCAATAAATTATCACGACGTAAAATATTGTAATCGTCTAAAGTGTCATTCAACATCTTAAAAGAAGAGAAATTTATTCAGAAAAATTCTTAAAAAATTATCCAAACCTGTAAAATTTCTGTTTCCATTCTCTTTTCAATTTCTTCCAATTCTGGATTTAGTGCATGATCTCTTCTAGGACTAGTTAATTTTGGTGTAGATAAATTATTTAAATAGACAGAATCATTTAATATTAAATCATTTTCTTTTTCTAAAAATTCTGAAAAATAAAATTTTTGTTTTTAAGAGGTTAATAGAATATTAGAATTTGAACACGGGCATGGCCCGGCGGTACGATACATAGTCCATAAACCGGGTATTTTGATAAAATCTAAGTTTTCGAAGGAGAGTTCACACGGGCAAGGTCCGAAGATTTTCGGCTTGGTAGCCAATAGATAGGGTATTTTGAATAAAATCAAAGTTTTCGGAGGTTGCCGGAGTTTAAGCCAGGAAATCAAAGCCCAGGTTCATTTTTAAAATAAACCCGGACAATTAAAAATATATTAATACCATTATTTTTCTCTTCAGATCCAAACCAATTAGTCATCCAATTTAACCAACCACCTCCTCCATTTTGTTGTGGTTGTTGCTGATTAATTTTTAAAATATTATTGTTTTCTTCTTTTATTATTTCCTGTTCTGATTCAATAATTTGAAAAGGACTTGATGTTCTTGAATTTTCATTAGTATTAGAAGAAAATTGTAATTTAAGTTCTGACAACATTTTTTGAAAAACTGCTTCACGGAGAATGTGTAAATCCTTAAAATTAAATAAATTAAAGTCTGTTAAGAAAAATAAAATTAGAAAAAAAAAGAAAAGTTGGTAAAACATTTAGAAAATAGAGTTATCATTTCGGAACCAAATCGATGAGCCGAAAGAATTTTTTGTTCAAGTTCAGTATATTACAAGGGCGTACCCAGGGGGTCGGTTTCGGGGGGGGGGGGGGGGGGCTAACACTGGGTGGGCGCAAAAATTTTTGGCGTTTACCTTGGCGTTCCGGACGCAAATTTTTTGTACATAAATTTTCATCACTTCAGCGCCGCAGGCGAAAATTTTTTGGAATTTAGAGCCCAAGAAGTCAGATTTTTTCCTTTTTTAGCGCCGCAGGCGAAAATTTTTTAAAATTTGAAGGTTGTAGGCGAAAAAATTTCACTTTTTCGACCATCCTTCTCCTAATTTTTTCCCCCTTTCCCCCATTTCGGGGGGGGGGGGGGGCTCTAGCCCCCCCCAGCCCCCCCCTGGATACGCCCTTGGTATATTAGAAGATTTTTCAAAGACCGATAACCTTAAGTGGGGGAAAAGGACCTCCGTCAAAAAATTGGGATCAAATGTTACCCTGCAAAAACAAAAAAAATACGAGACAAAATGTCGAAGGAGACAAAAAATGAAATATGGAAAGTAAAACCTAAGAAAAGAGAGGAACAGTGTTAACTTTCGTAACTAACCCGAAGAAGTGAGAGAATTTTTTTCGGTTTAAATACTAACCGTATAACTAAAATCGGCCCCATGTTCAATTTGTTTAATTAATGTTGTTTCTTCATGTGAATATTTTGGAGCATTTATAGTTAATTTGTTTGCGTCAAAAGAAGGAGAAGAAACATTTTGAGATCTTTAATGAAAAAATATATTTCTATTTCATAAATGTACTAATAGAAGCCCGGGTACTAATTTAGTTTCCCCCCCCCCCCCCAGTCAGTTTTTTCGAAAATTATGTAAAAATGGTCAGTCTGAACAACAATTGTAGAACCCATCGAGCTGTGTCGAATGACACCAAAATCAACAAAATCCGACTTGATTTGACCGAAATACAGACCCCTAAACCACAGTGGCACAAAATCATAAAGACGAAAATCCATACAAATGATAGCTCATTCGAAAGAGCTCGTCGAGCTGAGTCGAATGAGACCAAAATCAACGAAATCCGACTTGATTTGACAAAGTTATGACATAAGTCGTCGACTCCGGCAGGTCTAAATAATGTCATAACTTTGTCAAATCTTGTCCGATTTCGTTAATTTTGGCGTCATTCGACTCAGCTCGACGAGCTCTTTTGAATGAGCTATCAATTGGGTAAACTTTTTTTATTTCAAAAAATCACCCCCATGGTCGTTCAATTTTCAGGGGTCTGTATTTCGGTCAAATCAAGTCGGATTTCGTTGATTTTGGTGTCATTCGACACAGCTCGATGGGTTCTACAATTGTTGTTCAGACTGACCATTTTTACATAATTTTCGAAAAAACTGACTGGGGGGGGGGGAAACTAAATTAGTACCGAAGCCCGTCTCCCACAAACGCCTATGCACTATTAGAAATTCCCAAAATGAGAACAATTAAAAAATAAATGCCCTGGGGCTTCTATTAGAGTTAAAAAAGTTTTTAAATAAAAAAATTTTCCCTTACCCTTTCAACTGACTCGTCAAAAAACAATTTAATCTGTGTCGATAAGCCTTACAATAAGTATTGACTAGGTGTAAACGAGCAAATAAAGCTTTTGGTTCACGACAAATATTTTTATTTCGAATTTGTTCCAATTGGCGATTTATTGCAAATTGCCACCAACGCTTGGGGCTTTAAAAAGGAATCCAAAAATATTTTTTAAAAAATTTAAAAAAAACCTAGAAATTATAGAAGTATTTGGACGCCATTTACGATGTGGACGGGCACGTTCAAACATTGACCAATCATCCATAAATTGTTGGATTTGAGCAATTTGTTTCTGGGTTAGTTCTAATTCAATTCTTTGAGAGCGAATATTGAACTAAAAAAATTTCAAAAATTTTTTTTAGAATTTTTTTTTCAATATTCCGTGAGGAACATTGAAAAAACGTAAAACTACGGACAACAATCAATCCGACGACAAAAAAAATTTTTTTATTTGAATTTTCTTTTACTAATATTCCAGGAGGAAAAATACGTTTCCTCATGAAATGATTATTCTTGAAATTTTCTTTCAGAAAAAATTTTCAAAAAAAAAAACCTTAAACCGAGGTATTAGAGTTGAACGTAAAGGAAAACGTGAATTATTTTTTTCCATTCTCAATTCTAATGTAAATGGTTGTAAAATATAAACATTTTCTGATGGAGAAGAAAAGAATCCCTATAAAATTGAAAAAAATTCTGAAAAAAAAAATTTAAAAAACTTTCAACGAGTCCAAGGATAAAGGCAATACAATAGGAGAGTCATTCAAATTATTTTCAGGATTCCAATAAATTGAGAAACCTTTGACATCAAATTTTTTGAAAATATTAATTCCATCTGTTGGATCAACAAAGCCAACACGCTGAAAAAAAAAGAAAAATCAAGGTTGAAAAATAGAGGGTCAGGTTACAGAATCCAGACTTTTATTCGATATAAAACCCGATACTCGATCCGAAGATAATTTGAAACCCCGACCAGACATTAATAACCCGGCACTCCCCGATTTCCGGAAAGAATAAACAGAATCCGAAAATTATGCTTGAGTGTGTTGCTTTATCTCCACTATTTTTACTTTTTACAATCATAGGAAATGAGAAACGTGCAACAACCAATCCTCAGAATCCCTAAAATTCACAGAAAAGGGAATTATGAGTCCCTAAAAATTTTTTTTAATTATAAAAATTTCTTACCCATTGAGCATTTGTTGTTTGCACATTCAAAGAATCAATTTGAACTCCAAAATTAAAATCAGTAGATTCATATTTTATATGTACATTTTCAACTAGAATCTTTAAAATTAAAAATCAATTTAAAAAATTTTATTTAATTCAAACTTGTATATTAGACGAAATAGTAGAAAGTATTGAAGTTGTTCCCCACCAAGAATTTTGTTCCTCATTTTCATTTAATTTTATTCCAAGTTGTGAAAGGAGTTTTTTCTGAAGAAAAACTTTTAGGAAAACATTTTAAAAAAACTAGGTATTCTTAAGTTTGCCCTAAGTTACTCCAAAATTAAAATCAGTAATTTTGGAGTAAATTACTCCATCGAGGTTGGAAGATTTAGGAAGATCCCCTACCCAATAGACGTTATTAGGAAAATACAGTGGAACCTCACTATAGCCTATAGGGATTCAAATCATTGACATATCTTAAATTGTTCTAGTAAATAAATTGGGGACCATTTTTTAAATTCTTCGCAGCGGATTTCGTGTTAAAAAAGTTGTGGTTTCGAATAACCCACGGATCCTTTTCTGCCAACCAAAGGACAATCAAATTTTAAAAAACCCATCGTATCCGAAAAAAATTAAGGAAAGTAGCCAAAAGTGAGAACCCTGCCAATAAATTAAAAAAAACCTTTTGTTCAATTTCCAACTCATCAAGCATTTTTTCCAGATTTTGTTGCTTAAATTGTTCAACAATTTCAACATCATAATTAGAAGAATAAGGCCCCAAAAGCACCAAAAAATCGCGTATTCTTAAAATCCATGGCTGTGAACGAATTCGAGTTAGAGGCACTTGAAGTTGTAATTTCCCAATTAATCCGTGTTTTACTTGCAAAGGAATGTCAAATTTTCTAAGTGAACTAGCTCGAAGAGGGACGTTTTCCAAATCAACTTGACCTTAATTTAAAAAAAAAATAAAAAAAATTTATTGCACCGTGGCAGTGGTAAAGATCAATTTAGAGAGTGGTCCCTGTATAGCAACGTAACCAGATAGCCATTTCAGCGGTGAAGGCAGTCGGATCCAGATCTGCTTGTTATCGAAGCAATAAGGCATTGATACCTACTTACTCGTGATCGAGATTTTTGAAAAGCCTGGTCATATTCATGGCTTTGAGTTATTGAACTGGACCGGATCCTAAGCCTGTACTCCGGAAAAACACAGGCTCAGGAAAACCCAAGTAAGGTCAAAAAATGCCTGGGCTCTGGGGACAAGAAAAACCCAAGCCATGGTCCAGTCCAGACACCGCTCGAACTCTACTAACTAATATCCCTCTTCTTAACACGCCTACCCTCCCAAAAAAGAGAAGGCGACTAGCCATAACTGCCTGGTCAAAGGATGCCCACAGGTTAACCGAACTGAAGGATTAATTTTTTTAAGAAACCTTGAAGAAAAGCAACAGAAAGTTGATCAGTATTTAAACAAAAATATTCGCCAATATAATTATT